ATATGCATTGTCATATGATCTGATGGAGCTTTATTTATCTTGAAACACTGTTTTATCGGTTGCTTTGTCCAGATCTACAAATCTCAGAGGAATGCAATTCTTTGCTTGGCAGCATGCCTTCTCTATTGGTAAATAACCTCTGTGTTCAAATCTTCTTTTTCATGGGCGAGCTCTTTGTTTTCGTGTGTTGGACCTGTTGGTGATGTAACAGGTTTTGGTATGAATGCAGGTCTATACATCGTGTTTGCAGCTACCACAAGGATATTCAGAAGATGGAGGAAATAGAAAAGAGATGCAAAGAGGAGTAACTTCTCCTTTAACTGGAGTTGTATGTGTCTTGTTGTTTTTTGTTTTGCTCAAGTCTAATGAGGAAGACAAATAAGTACTCGGAAGCTAGTATTATATAGCTTGTCAGGTAATAAAATAATCAGTTTGTTTTGTTTTTCATGTGAATCATCTCAATTCCAACTTTTGTGTTGTTTTTTATCCAAACTTTTGAGCCGATGCTATAATAGGTTTGATACTAGAAATCTCAAAACCTTAAATATAAAGAAATTGCCCAAAATGGAACTAAAACATGGATTAAACTCCAAAATAGGACTTTAAGTTTTTTATTCCCTAAATAGGACTCCAGATTACAATTTTGCTCTTCTTTAATTAAACCCCAATTTCTAGCTTTTGCCATTCGTACCTCTGCCCCTTCACTCCTGCGGGAAGGGATAAGAATAGGATTCGTTGGAATTGCAGAAATTACACAGGACCTTGGCACGTTCGTCCCCATGAGCTTGCCTCCTCTTTCCCGCCAGGATCTTGGCTTCCTGTTAAGGAGTGGAGACGTTCGTCCCCATGAGCTTGCCTCCTGCTTCCCGCCAGGATCTTGGCTTCCTGAAAGGAGTGGAGACGTTCGTCCCCATCAGCTTGGCTCCTGCTCCTCGCCAGCATCTTGACTTCCTGCCAAGGGGTGGAGACGTTCGTCCCCATGAGCAGTTTCAGTTGATCGCACCCAACGAATTGATGCAGCAGGAATTAAGAAGGGTATCTTTGTCCAAATACAATTAATTAGTCCTATTAAGGGAATTTAAAACATTATATCCTATTTTTGCAATTCTACCTTCTTTTAGTCTTATTTAGGGAATTCTCTCTTAAATATATCCCAATTTGTTTTCTCTCCACTGCCTGTGACTGTTTTTGTATGCTAAAGATTTTCTTTAAAAAACATTGAAAAGGTCGCGGGAAACTAATACCACTAATCAGAGGGACATGTACTATGGCGTCTCTAAGGGTATGTTTGGGTTTTGGAGGAAAGATGAAGGTTAACAAAAGTGTATGAGCATCCCCTTCATGCTTAGGAGTTTAAAAATATGGAGGGGATAGTTTTGAGAGATTTTGAAAAATAACTAATTAAATAATAATTTTAGTTCAATTTTAAATAAATGTAAATTCAAATATTTAAATTCATCACATGTGATTGTGATTTTAATTATAATTCGTTCATAAACTTTATATTTTCAAATTTGTTACTCTCAAACAAAAAGGGTTTCATCCAAATTTTCTCTCCTTCTCTTTAAACTGCCAAACATACCCTAAGAGGCTAAGACGTAACTCGTAGGAGGTTGCGGCATATAGTCATTTTCTAGCGTTGATAATTGTAGCCATATTTTATGTCTTTGCATTTTGTATGTAATCGTATATTTATATCCAAGGTGCCTCGCGTTAATTTCCTGATCAACTGATCAAACATAGTACCCCAATCCCTATCGGTCACTTAGACTCAGGTACAATAAAAAGCATCATATAAACACATTTACTCTTAAAAAGTAATTAATTAAGCCAAAATACCTAAAAGTAACCTGTAATAGGAGGTTACCATTCTCATAAGGTTTAATGCACAGACACACAGTGCATTGGATAATGGCTGTTGTGCATCAGATTAAAAATTTGGACGGTTCCGATTAATTCTCATTTTACACGTTAAGGCTCCTTTTTATATATAGAGTTTGGATCAAATAAAAAAGAGTTTTAATGTGTAAAATGAGAATTAATCTAAGCCGTCCAAATTCTCAATTTGATGCACAATAGTCTTTATCTAATGCACTGTGCATTAAACCTTATCTGATGCACTTTTTCAAAATGTGCATCAGATAAGGTTTAATTTAATGCACAATGCATTAGATAAGGACTATTGGCATCATATTGAAAATTTGGATGGCTCAGATTACTTATGTATTGTTAAATTCTTCTCATTCTAAATTTTCAAAATATGAATTTTTTAATTTTTTTGCTAATAAAGAATGAAATATATTAATAGTCAAACTTGTGCATTGGCAAACGTGATATGTTAACTGTTGCAATTAAAAAGGAACGGATGAAGTATTTTTTATTAAAATAAAAAAAAGTATATGAAAATTTGCTAAAATGTTTCTCTACACCAACTTGAGTCGATACAGCCCGAAAAGTAACTTTAATCTTACATTTTCTTATTATTACACAATTTAACGGACCAAATCAAAAGTTACTTCTTTGATAAAAAAAATTAGCCGATAAATCCGATAAGTCAAAAAATAGGATCACCAAACGGTGAAATTGATTATAGTTAAAAGTACATTAGTTTTAAAATCCTCTACCAATTGAGCGACATAAACTTGTCTGCAAGTAATGTTTTATCTATTTATATAATTATACTACTTATTATTGTATTCAACAATGATTAATTTTGTGTATAGAAAACTGTTAATTTGGTTTCTTATATCACGAAAAAGTCAATTAAGTCCTCGTACTTTTAAAATAAGCATCAAATTCTTGAACTTTGTAAAAACGTTCAATTGAGTCCATTTGCATGTTACTTGTCATGTCATCAGGTAACTCGTTGACGGGGCACACATGTGACAGTCCAATCAGCAGTGACTTTGCTGACGTGACACACATGTGGAAGTCCAGGCAACCATTTGTTGATGATGTGGCACACATGTGGACCGCCACATGTGCGTCACATCAGCGGGTGACTTGCTGACGTGTCAAGTAACCTGCAAATGGACTCAATTGAACGTTTTAATAAAGTTCGGTGATTTGATTGATTTTTTTAAAAATTTGAGGACCCAATTGATTTTTTCGTGATAGTCCGAGGACCAAATTGACAATTTTCCCTTTTGCCTATATCACTACTCAGTAAGTAGAACAAAAAGTGCCACTTTATGAGTTCAATTTTACTTTTCATTTTTGTATTTATGACTTTTTCCAATCGTATAACTTACTTTGTATAAGACAGAAAAATACCTTTCTTATTTAACTTTCTTTTCTTTTGCTACAATTTTCTAAGTTCTCTCTCTCTTTGGACTTTTCTTTTCACATTTTCTACACCATCTCTTACGTTTACTCATCTTCACTTATATGAAATTTAAAAAAAAAAGGGATACACGAAGATAAAAGTACATTGATAATTATGGTGAAAACGTGGGATACGCGATTATAGGGAGACCGGTCAGTTTTCGGCTAGGGTTGATATCAGACCGGCAGATAAGGGATTGGTGTCAATCCTCACTTTTTGGACCGATTGGTCTGGTCTGAGTTCCGATCTTACATCGGTTCTCATTTAATTAAGGAGTACTACCTCCGTTCCCATTTTAACTTCCAAATGGGTTTGACACAAAGTTTAAGATAGTGGATATTGTGTGGTAGAGAGTTGTGCAGAGAAGAGAGAAATGTGTAAGAAATGTTGTGAACCACAAATTCTTTACCAAAAAGGGAAAATGAAAGTTTTAATTGGAACGGACGAAAAAGGAAAGTTGGAAGTTTATTTAGGAACGGAGGGAGTAATATTTTTTGCATTAGAATCATGAGGAAACAACTTAAAAGGGGGTGAAGGTCCATTGGTAAGTACTCCCTCCGTCCCGGAAAATTAGTCCCACTTTGACTTGGATCGGAGTTTAAGAAAGTGGAAATGTATGGTTGTGGTTGAGTAAGAAAAAGGTAAATGAATGTTAGCCACACAAAACTTTCCAAAAAGAGAAATGGGAACAATTTTTTGGGACGGCCCAAAAAGAAAAATGGGACTTATTTTATGGGACGGAGGGAGTATCTTTTAATAGAGTTGATAACTTGAAATGTATTTAATTGGTGCCTTCTTCTACTAAATGTCTTTTTTTCTTTACCAAAATTTTCATTTTATTACATACTTATGTTTGAAACTAAACTTTTGAGATTCAATATGATGGTAACGTTGAACGTGTTTGTATTCTTATAGTTCAAACATTGGACGACTTTATGTGCCCTAGATTTAGGAACTAAAAAATGATAAGAATTGAATTGTTAAAGTTTGGTACCATTTCATATCAATTACGCAAATAATTTATAAGAAATAAATTATTTATAAGAAATAAATCAATATCAAAATTGATTTAAAAAAACATTGGTTTTGTCTTCCCCCACCATTTCTATTTTTTTTTATAATCCAGGTGTCGGGACTTACGTTCCCATAATCCTGGAGTCTATGAACTACCCTCCAAAGCCCCTAGACAGTTAAATCCGGATCTGATCACAGTCAGCCTCGTCAGTACTGGCTCCAAAGGACGAATTCAGCAAGACTTACATCACCTTTCAGGCTACTCCTCCCACCACACGAACCCGCTACCTTCATTATCATCTTCTCCCTTCTCAGCCGCTGAGCAACTCCGTGAAGGTAGGAAGAATCATTGGGAGCAAGACCTCCCTCATCTTACCTTGATGCGAATTGAACTCAAGACCTCCCACAAAGGAAAGATTTGAGAGTGGATGGTCATCCATTGAATCGCCCTCTGACATCCTTCATCTTTAAGAAGTTAGCGGAACACGTGTGAATCGCCCTCTGACATCCTTCATTTTCGCGACACTTGTCACCACTTTGTTCGACAGACGAAGAGCCGAAATGCCGCATTTCTATCACGTGTCTCTTTCCACCAAAATGTGGCCGGCCAACTTTCCATTTTGCTTTGCGTCTTTATTTATATCCGTCCATTTCCCAGACCCAACTTTCTCACGTTTTCGCCGCTGCTTCTCGTAATACAACATTGTCTACCTTTCATTTCCTGGCGATTTCGGGAAGATCCCTCATTTCGTAGCGTATACTTTCCAATTTTCCATCTGTTTTATGGTTCCGTTAGGGATTCGCGAAGTTTGTGTTACTGGGATTCGTTCGTTCCATTTCAGCGGGAAGTTTTGCGCGAAATCCGGACCACTTTCGAGGCTAAGAGCTGGCAATCCGATCGGGAGTTTATCTGGATTCAGAGCGTCTGCGTTCGGAAAACCAATGGCGGTGGAGGTGGCCAAGGGGAGCAACGCCAGGGCGACTATAATCCTGACGTCTGGGGCAAGCGGCCGAATCAGCGCCCTCTTCTCTCTGCAGGTGTTGCGGAGTTTGTGGGTGCTGGTCCATGCTTTTGTGCTGCTCTTTCTTTTCCCGTTTCGGGGCCGTCGGCGGATGGCGTCGGCGGTAGGGGCTGTGGCCGCATCGGGGCCCCAGGAGAAGGGCGGCGGGAAGGATGAGAAGGGAGGAGAGCGGAAGGGCGCTATGGTGAGAGTGCCGACGGCGATGGTGGCTCGTAAGTGTGCCGTGGAACAGGATGTAGCGGCAAGGAGAGCTCTGGCGATGAGGCGGGTGGTGCAGGATAACGATGATCGGACGGTTAGGGAGTTCAGCCTCTTCGTTACGCCCAGAGGTGACACTCTGTTCACCCAATCATGGACGCCAGTTTCCATGAATGTCAGGTAAATAATTATTTAAATGCTGTGATATTCTGTATAGAGGGAATATTTAGGTCGGTCCAAGCCAAGCCTATTCGAGGGACTGCATGGTCAATATTTTGATTAAATTTCATTAGATTTAGAACATTCACAAAATTTCAAATTAAATTTCAAAAAATGCAGTTGAAAGACACTTCATTTTTATGCATATTTTTGCGCAGTATGTTTTAATAATTTATTATTTAACTGAATTCTCGATTGAATTCTAAGATGACATTTTGTGTGAATGTTCTACATTTCGGACATGCTAACAAAATTTCATCAAAAAACTCTACCGGAAAGCCCCGTCAGCCGGATGGCGGTTCCGATCAATCCGGACTGACATGAACACTACTCATTCTGTATATATGAGCAATTGCTCTCATTGAATTTGTGCATTTTTTAATTTTGAATTGCGTCATTAACTCATTCATTCATTGGTTTCTATTTGTGACAGAATATGTGCACATATGAACATATTCTGTTTAAATCAGAAGAGATCATTTTTCTATTTATATCTATGTTATGAAGACTAAAGATGATTTTTTTGTGCATTCAGTCTTATTTTCTTACTAGAGGACATAGTAAGTATCCTACAAATATATGCCTTGTGAATAGCTGTTATTTACCGCCGGTATTATTATATGTCCAATGGTCCTGTTGGCTGAACCAAATTTTAAGAGTCACATTGCCCAAATTCTTTTTAAGGTCGTTGAGCATGATTGGTCTTCTTGCCTTGCCATGGACAAAACCTCTCTGATACTCTTGTACGCTGCTAAAAACTGAATTTTGCTAAAGTTACAAAGTTATTGCGCTGATAATAAATATTTAATCCCTTGCAATCACATCATTATATTTAATGAATAGCATTATTATATGTTTTTTTTGCCTTCAAAGCATTTTTTAGATTCAACTATGTATGCATTTATTTGTTTCTCATAGATCTACATATACCTTGTTTAGGGGATTGGTCATCATTTTACATGGTCTGAATGAACACAGGTTAGTATATATACTTGTTCTGTGACAGTAAGTAGTTTTCATTAAATTACTACGGAGTATAATGCTTATAATATATTTAATATTTGCTGTTAATTTAACAGTGGAAGGTATAATGATTTTGCGAAGAAATTGAATGCAAATGGATTCAAGGTCTATGGATTGGATTGGATCGGTAAGTACATCTAATTTCAAACCTACTATGCCACATTTGAGTAACAAAACTGAGAAATTCATTTTGTTACAATCAGAATGTCAATTTTATTATATTACTATTTTGATCTGTATTATAGGTTCTCACCTGCACACTTTGAATGTTCATTTACACCTCGAATTTATTAGCTCTTCCATGTGTTTTCACTATTACACATATCACCATCATCTTTATCATCTTTATCATCATTACCCCGGTGCCGCAAAGGCTCCCACCTACGGTGGGTAAGAGGGGTCGGATGTACGCAGTCTTACCCCTGTACTAAAGCACAAAGAGACTGCTTCCGGATAAACCATAGTGAAAATCGCGTCCAAAGGTGCATGGAATAACCGCTGCTTCATAACAAAGAAGTGCATATAGTTTAGTGATCCATTTTGCTTTATTCCATCATATTCTCAAACCAAAAAATAGTGAATCTTTGGCTCCATTGCAAATAATGGAAATTGTTTTCACTATTACACATACATGACATAAAAACATTTGCAGTTTATGACTGTGTTTTCCCTAATATAATTTAACTCGCCGCATAGATGAGTAGATGACATATTGGACAGCTTTGCAAAAGCATCATTCAATATAATGAGCCAAGCGATTCCTGGTAATCAATGGTAAAATATATGACTTATTTGTTGCTACAAATAGAGTAGTTGTTTGGCTTATGGACGGACTTTATGGAAAGGTGGTCTCACTTTGTTCAAATTCCTTTGACTTAATGTGCAAAAACAATGGAATGTATTTAGTTGTAACGTACATCCCTATTTGTCACCATTTAAATGTAAATTACTCAGCACGTGTTCATCATCACAATTGTCATAGTTGTATGTATACCAGGTGCCAGAAGAGCTCCCCCAAATGGGGTTCAGCAGTAGCTCATGTCTGGATTAGTCGTAGTCCAATACCGGGGCAATATACCGAAGGATAATAAAACTATGCACTCTAATTGTATTTTAGAATCATTATGTCCTTATAACTTATCTGTTATTCTAGTCACAGTTTTTAAACATTAGTGCATAACTCTTGAAGATTGTATATAGCTTTGTTCCTTGCATATGATACTGTCACATAAGAAACTGGGTTACGTTTTCAATCTTACAATTTTCTCTCTGCCTCACGATAAAGGGTCATACATGTATGTACAAGAGAAGAGGGTTTGTTAATGCACACTGCACCAAAAGGAGGAGACATTAGGGGTTTATAATTACTCCATTTATTCTATTTTGACTATTACACAAATCTATCATGGATCAATTCATGTTAGCTGACCCCAAATCTTTTGGGAATAAAGCTGGGTTGTTGTTGTTGTTGTACACAATTCAAACAGACTTTGTTTGCTTAAAACAATCAGCAATGCCTTAAGCCTAAGTCATTGATGTTGATTAAATGAACCAAGAGATACTTCTCCTCATCCACAAGTATTTTAGTCTTCCATCAATCTACGCTGTGGCATGTGCACAAGTGCTGATGCTCTAATGTCCTTTTGTACCCCTTAGCTCATGTCATATTTTTGTCTTCCCTGAATTTTTTAAACCTCCAGTGTTCCAGCACTCAACTGTTAATATCGGTTGTGTCTTACTGTCTTCAGTTCTCGCTATTCCTACTTTGATGACGACCTCTTCGTTGTAACTCTATGTTTCAAGAAATGATGCACACCTCTTAACCAATGCAATATCACTGCATCATCATCTCCATTAGACTTTTTAGTAGTCAAACATTTTCTGTCTGCAGTATGATTTTTCATTAGTATAAAAAGATGAGTTATAAATGGCCATCAGCCTTCATTAAATGAACTGGACACATGAGATGAACTGGATGAAGTATAACTATTCATTGACATAGAGTGGTTGGATAGATGGAGGAGGAGCTTGTTACTTTGAAACATGCACTAGTTGCATGGTAATACTACTGTATTTAACAAAATTCTTAAAGCATTTATTATAACAAAGAGAAATGGATAAGAGAAATGACTTTTTGTCAGGAAAGCAGCATCTAACTAGTAGAACATTCAATAGGTTCCGGAGATGTTGGTTTTCTTTTGTGCTCTCAGTCTTGAACAAAGCCTTTGATATTTAATTACTTTTTACCATCTAGAAAACTCTCAGACATCAACTATGCATCTATATTTGCATGTTGCAGGGATTGAATTTTTTCCAATCCGGATGTAATTGGTGCAAAAAAGTAACATCTGAAGCTCATCATCATAAGTAAGCATGTTGACTTGTAGGTATGTGTAAGGCATTGTACATAAGAATGGTAAAGGCCTAAAGGGAGGAAAGGTAGCCTTAGGAATTTGAAGTGAAAAAAACTTCAGCTATGAGACACTTGAATGGAAAAGCCGACGAACTATTATTGGTTGGTTTGATCAGTTTCCACCTCCCACATTCCTATTGTTGGCTCATCACTCCTTAAAACTTAATCTACAAACCAATATAAGCCACTTAATTTGTATCAGACTCTGATGAAAGGTTTTCAGCAAAAACCCCTCTTGCTATATCTTTGTTAGAGGATAACGGTAGAAGCTGGCGCTCAATGCTAACCTTAATCCCCCACGCGCATGTGGGGAAGATTGTGAAGTAGGCTCCGTGGCGATTTAAACAAGGAACAAGGAGTGGGATATTATGGATTTTTCTTCTTAAGAAACCTTTCGGTTTTCTTCTTTGTTCACTTTTATTATATGGATTATTACGTGCATTGAAGTACTTTAAACAAGGAAAGGAATAAATCCTATTCAATCACTTTTAAGAATAGTAAGCTAAAAGAGGCACTAAAATCAAAATGACAAAATAACAATATAGTCAACCAACCATAATTAAGCTAATCAATCAGCAATGATCTTGTACTTGTATGGTCTTTTATTCTTTACATAATGTTATAATTTAGCATCAGCGCATGTCTAGTTCCATGGTTTAAAGTGCTGAGATTTGGATGTTTTTTGTGGAATAAAGTCAGCAAACATTTAGATTCGGTTCTGTAATGTACTTATATGGTGCGGAATTGGTTAAACTTGCTCATAAAATTCTTGCAGTACTTATATAATAGACCTGATATAATATTTGTCTAAGGTGTACTATCAATATCATTATTGTTTGCTGGTTTCTTTCCTGCAGGGCATGGTGGAAGTGATGGTTTACATGCATATGTTCATTCTCTTGATGATGCAGTTAGTGATACGGTATGAACCAGGCAATGACTTAGTGCGAAGTCCATCACATCTTTATATACATATTCTACTGACTGGTCTTTTTTCCTCAGAAACTGTTCCTCACAAAGGTTTTAGCAGATAACAATAATAAGAATTGTTATGGAGGGCTAAAATGCTTCTTCTTTGGACATTCAACGGGTGGAGCCATTGTCCTGAAGGTAATTTCTTCAGTGTTCTCGAAATGTTAAAGTGATTCTCTCTAGGCTTTACTTTACTGCTGCTACTGCGTGTATGACATGCCATGTGTGTCTATTATAGGCTGCACTTGACCCCAAGGTGAGTGCCCTCATTTCTGGCATTGTGCTGACTTCACCTGCTGTAGGAGTTCAGCCATCGCACCCCGTTGTCGCGGTGAGCATGACCCAACCCTGTTTCGTCTGATATCCTTTCTGTCTCAAAATGCAGTTCCTGCTTTGTTCATATAAATTTTGTTAACTTTGACCAATAATTTATCAAAAACTCTATTTATTTGATCCACCCACAGTAAAAGGCGATGTTATTCATTCTTCGTTCATTCTTATAGGCCCTGGCTCCGGTTTTCTCCTTGCTGCTGCCAAGATACCAGATGAGCGCAGCTAACAAAAGGGGTATCTCAGTTTCTAGGGACCCTGAGGCCTTGGTGGCCAAGTACTCTGATCCGTTAGTGTTCACTGGGTCCATCAGAGTAAGAACAGGGTACGAGATTCTTCGGATAACCACATTCTTGCAAAAGAACCTTAGCAGGTTGACAGTTCCGTTTCTGGTTCTTCATGGTACCTCGGATTTGGTCACTGACCCTGAAGCTTCTAAGAGACTGTACAAGGATGCTTCGTCAACCGACAAAACCATCAAGCTGTTAGAAGGTTTGCTGCATGATCTGCTGTTTGAACCCGAAAAGGAAGAAGTAGCTAATGATATTATTCAATGGCTGGACCGTAGATTGTGAGGTTTGATCAGATCAGGTCGGGAAACTCCTCCAAGAATGACCATTGACAAGAACTGGTCTGCTGAAGAACTTAGTCAAATATACGGAGTATATATATTTATGTGGTGGAGGTTTTAAGGCTGTATATGTTAATGAAGACGGTACAAGAATAATGGTTAGCCTGTGCTTCTGTTCATGATATATTCAAAATGCTTTTTGTCATTTCATATGGGGTTATTTATTACTCCATGTCTTATTAAAATTATTCATTCTTAAGGTTACCTCTTTGTCCTTCCTAAAGGGGGTTCTATCCATTCAAGATAATGGTGTGATTTCCATTATTTTTTTATCATCTAAACATGAAGTAAATCTACATCTGTTAGAGAAAGCCATACAGCTCAACATGGAGTTTTAGCCCTGCTTCTCCCATCCCTTGGCCCTCGGATAAAAGAATGTCTACGATTGTTAAGTAAAAAAAGTTCTTTATGTTGGAAATATGAGGAAAATGGAAGAATGCACATTGTTTCACTACAACATTTCATATATAGGATGTTTCTAATTGATCTGGAATTTTGGTTTGGTCTACTTCGTTTAAGTGTCGTTTGAACTAGTTTAGTCTAGTAAATGTCTAATCTATATGTATTATACAATTCTTGAAATCTAGTCTAAACTAATCTATTGAAACAAGTCCAACTAAACACATCTTTAATAGGGCACGCATATAGTATAATTATGCACATTGGCATGGATGAGTGTTTTGAGCTTTTGTGAGTACCGATTGCCTTTCGATGAGCAATATCACTTTTTACCTCTTCTCTGGTTTCTCTATGCCTGATTTTACATGCACTAGTTTCGGTTACAATCGTTTCAAGCTTGTTATTGCAGCCTTCACCTTAATATCGAATTTGTTTTCCTTTGCAGGCACAGAATATTACATCCTTCGTCCAAAATTAAATGTTGTTTTGGCCAAATTTCTTTATCCTAAAATAATTACCTGTTTAGAAAAATAATGCTTGATTTCTACTCATGTCTCATATTTGTCCCAATTAACTCTTTTCGTTAGTTGTAGAACTTAAAATGTATTTGACGTTGAACTCTTAGATCATTTGTAGTGGCGAAAGTGTTAAGAATCCAAAGTGTTTAAAATTGACATTTTGACTCTTATAAATTGGTTGATTACTTGATTGATTGGGGACAATGTGGGGAGCGCTAAAAATAGAAAGTGGGAGGGGGGCCTTTGACCGCCCAAAAAGGTTGTAGGCGTGCAGCCCTTTGTCAACCGCATTTTCATAAATAGGGTTATAGGGCTGCTATTATTTTATTTGGCTATTAGCTCTAAATAGGACTAAAAGTAACCTAAAGGCAATATAGGAATATTTTCTTTTATTCGCAAAATAGCAGTAATAAAATAGCAGATTTATTTATTAATAAGGAAATCATAATTTTATTTATAATCAAAATATAAAAATTATACTACCTCCGTCCCTTTAATATTGGGACGGAAGAGAGTGGTGTGATTTTTAAGAAAAATAGAATTATGTGATTGATAATGAGTTAATAAAATGGAAATAAAATAAGAATGAATTGGAGTCACACAAATGTTACCAAATATTGTATGTGAAAATAATAGGGGACATTCAAAAATGAAAAAATGAGACAATTATAGGAGGACGAAGGGAGTAGAAAGTAAAACGGGAATTAGGCTCTTGTTGCTGTAATTTTGTTTTTATTTAGTCCTATTTAGGGAATTCTCCTATTTTATTTTAATCGTGTGCTGATGAGACATGTTCTTCCCATATATATACCACAAAAGCGTGTTTGGTTACACCCTTTATTTTGACATATATCGGCCTTATTAGTTAATTTTTTCCTCAAGCAAATAAGTTTTGATTTTGTGCGTTGTGTTGTGTATTAATTAAAATAAGTAAGGTTAGAGTTACTCTTTTGACTGAATTGGCTTAACAAAATATATTTTATATATTTTTTTATAAGTAATCGATTTAGCTCATTTGATTGTTACCAAATAGGCTCTAAGGGTCAGTTTGGTTGGGAGTTTTGGAGGAGAGGGAAGAAGAGAGTCATATATAAATTTAAAAGAATTTCTACATTTACAAAATTGAAATAAAGTGACTGAAAATTGTTTATGCAAATACTGATAAAGTGAATAATTATATAGTTATTTGTAGTATAAAACTAATAAGTTCAGATAAATTAGTAAAATAAAAAAGCCATTCTTTCCCTCCAAAATTCTCAAACCAAACGAGCCATACAGTCTTTCTAGTCGAGCTATTATAGTAGTGTGTAGGAATTTAAGAACCTTGGAGAGCCACACCCCAAAAGCTAGTTGTTAAGGTGGGAGAACCAGGCACTTAAGAGCCCCACCAAGCATCTCATTCTAGTCGGTGTGGGACTTATGGTATCCCATACTACCTAAGTCCCTAACAATACACCCTTCCCCGACAACCGGCTATTGTTAGGAACATAAGCACTTTGGAGAGCCACACCCCAAAAGCAGGTTGTTAAGGTGGGAGAACCTGGCACTTAAGAACCTCACAAAGCATCCCATTCTACTCGGTGTGGGACTTTTGGTATCCCATACTACCTACTTACCTAGGTCCCTAACATAGTGTCATATAAAAAAGTCAGTGCCAAGGCGAAAAATATCAAAAGATCAACCCTAAATATAAAACCAATAGCTAGAAAACTATATCTAAGCTTCACATTTTACCTTATACTAGCATTGGATGGACAACTGCTCAGGCTCTAGAATGAAAATCCTGCACTATCTTGTCCTATGAGCAGTTTTCGTCCTTTCTGCTCCCTTTAACAAGAGAGTTTAAGATTGTCACAAACAAAAACAAAGACAACAACAAATAATTAAAGCAATACCAACAGCTTACCTTTTTGACACCTCTAATCTTTTTCTTGACATTCTCCAAATAGAAGTAGATTAATTATGCACTGAAGGAAGCCCTGTTGATTGTTTCTTACTTTCTTTTTAAATTCAAGAGATGCAACTAAACACACAACACACCACATTGGGTCTTTAATTAAAAAATAATATTTTTTTATTTAAACCATCACACATCCACACCGATAGAGTTAATACTTGAAGAAGTAAATAAATCTCAAACTGAGTCGAGAGTCTTACTGATTGTAATTGTAGGTACAAGCCTGAAGTTGAAAACTATGTATTTGGATTAGAAATTAAAGTAATGGGGGATTTCTGAACGAAACATATGTTTATTTTCTTCAATGGTTTACGACTCTTAAATTATCTTTGTTGTTAGTCATCATCATCATCATTACCCCAGTGCGGCTTAGGTGGGGTAAGGGGATCTTTGTGTTAAGTATCTATCCGGAATCAGTAATAATGGCGGCAGAAAATATGAACGAAGATGAACAATGAACAAGAATGGTTATTCGATCACAGAAAAGATAGAGAAAGTGCCCTGACAGTTAAAGAGATGTCAACTCTCCAGTCCCAGCCCAATACCAATTAACAGCCTGCCTTATTCCTCCTTTAGCTATCTATTTATAGAAGTCCACCCGATCCCCAATTACAAAACAGCTAGCTACTTATTATTCCTTTTTCTTCTGGAATACTTTATCATAATAGCTACTACTACTACTACTATTATTATTATTATTATTATCAAACAGTTGACTTCCTGAGACTCTAACAACACTCCCCCCTGGAACAACCACCTTGTCCTCAAGGTGGGTCATATGAGACACTCCTGACAAACAGCTTCTTCATTTTTGCACCTCTTCCTTCCCAATACCCCACTGCTTTCTTTATTGTTATCTTCAGCGCATGAACTTCCAAAATCACCGTTGTTATTGCAGCAGAAGGTGTCTCTATTGACCTTCCACTCACTTCAGCAGCCTTAGAGTCCTCCAGATTGATATAGTAAAATTGCTTGTGACCCTTCTCTGCATTTTCTTTTGGGTGTGCCTCATAAGCATGCACATCCAGCACCTCCCTTCCAATACATTCAATGATAAAACACGTTTCAGATACTCCTTCAAGATTTTGCAGCCCATACCCCTTGTTTCCACCATTATACCACTCCAGATTAACATCCTTCCATCTCTGAAACTGTTGGTTCAAATCCTGCTCACCATAGTTCTCTTTTGCATATTTTGCATATAACTTGCTAATCAATTCAACTGCTGGGATCGGCTCAACCCTCGAATCCACAAACCACTTTGAGAGTTCGAATGCTTCACCTTTAGTAGTGTAACCCACCTTTTTCTTCCAATTTCCAGTCATACTTACTTCCAGTTTGTTTTCAGTTATTGCAGTGCTGAACGAACAATACCTCTCTCCATGCTCTTGCTTATTCTTGATGATGGATTTGAAAGAAACTTGATTACTGCTGAAGTTGGTATCTCCCTGAAGCTTCATTGCTTTACCCTTTTCCTTCCATTTGATAATCAGCTGATTGAAATTAAATTCAACATTTCCCAAGCCTGCTAACCAATCCAGCCCCAAAACTATCTCAGTTTCCCCCAATTCTAAGACATAAAAGTCTTGAACGATAGTAGTTTGTTGTATGTTAAGAAAAACAGCTTCACATCTCCCATTGTTTCTGATTATGTCTCCATTTCCTATCTTCACCTTGAATTCTGGAATCTGTAATATAGGTAGGCCTGCTGCTTGAACTACCTTATGAGATATAAAATTGTGGGTGGCCCCACAGTCAATCAGAATGATTATAGTTTTATCCCCCTTGCTGCTCCTTAACTTTCCCTTCATTGTAAAAGTCTTAGGAGTTGTGATTCCTTCCTTGCTCAAGAGAGATAACTGCATAGTAGAGAGGTCTGTTTCTTCCATTGGTGAAGCAGGTTCTATAGTATTACTCTCAAATTCCTCCTCCTCTTCAGATTCATCTAACATGACGAGCTGGAAGTGTTTTATCTTACAAATATGATATTTTCCCCATTTTTCCCCACACTTGAAACAGAGACCTTTTCTGCTCAACTCCTGTAACTCAGATTGAGATAATCTGTGTGTACCCATTATTCCAGACTCCTTATTTCCTGTCTCCATCATTTTCTTTTCCATGGCAGGTTTCCCTTGACTGGACTGGTAGTTCAGACTGCTCCTCCCTTTGTTTTCATCCATCCATTTGTGATTCCGTACTGAAGTATACCCCTTATCTTTCATTCCTCTTCTATCATCTTCCTTGTTCCTGGCAGATTTCAGAGTCTGGTTCCTTTGTTCCACTAGCAAGGCCCTATCCATCAACTCCGCAAGAGTTCTGACTGGATACAATTTTAATTCTGCTTTTATTTCGTCTTTTAAACCCTTCATGAAGATTCCTTTAAGGATTTTCAGATCAGTCTGTTTCAAAGGTGCCACCATCAACTCAAATTGTTCCCTATACTCCATTACACTGCCAGTTTGAATTACACTCAATAAGGGGCCATAAGGATCATTTATCAATCCTGGTTGAAATCTACGAGTCAAGGCAGACTTGAATGATTCCCAGGTCCTCACCTCAGTGTGTTCTTCCCACCACTGAAACCAGTTAAGAGCCTTTCCTTCCATAGCTAAAGTAATTAATTCTACTTTATCATCTTCCTCTATATGATTCATTTTAAGGAAGCGCTCAGCCTTAACTATCCATCCATAAGCATCATGTCCATTAAACAGTGGTAAGTCTACTTTCCTTTCAGATTTTTCCACCAATTTGCTGTAATCATCATTTCGTCTAGAGGATGAAGAATGATGATTACCTGAGGAAGACGATGATTCGCGACTACCTGAGCGCTGGTTTCTTCTGGTCGTTTTCGATCTTCCACGCGAACGACTATCATTCCTGGTCAAAAACAGCTCGCGTAACTCATCACGAGCACGTTTGGCCTCTTCGCGCATGTCTTCGCGATCGCGGTCGCGCATCACCTCCATGCGAGTCTTCTCCAACTCTCGCAACATGTCCAGACGACTCCGTTTCAACTCGCGTTCCAGGTTCTCCAATCGCATTTCCATCGTTCCTCTTGTAACGACCATGAACAGGTAACAAGATCGTTGCTCTGATACCAATGTTAAGTATCTATCCGGAATCAGTAATAATGGCGACAGAAAATATGAACGAAGATGAACAATGAACAAGAATGGTTATTCGATCACAGAAAAGATAGAGAAAGTGCCCTGACAGTTAAAGAGATGTCAACTCTCCAGTCCCAGCCCAATACCAAATAACAGCCTGCCTTATTCCTCCTTTAGCTATCTATTTATAGAAGTCCACCCGATCCCCAATTACAAAACAGCTAGCTACTTATTATTCCCTTTTCTTCTGGAATACTTTATCATAATAGCTACTACTACTACTACTACTACTATTATTATTATTATTATTATTATTATTATCAAACAGTTGACTTCCTGAGACTCTAACACTTTGTTGTTAGTGCATAGGGAAAATATAGTTAAACTTAACATTGTTGTCTTATATTTGTTCAACATTAAGTTTGCTACAAAGAGGCTTAGCTTGGAGATTAGCTTTAATAAAGATAATACAGTAATGCTCTTATTGATTACTAAGGGAGATAGATGCTGAATATTTACATTTCATTATTTCCATTTTTTTGTTTCCCCAGGTCATTCTGTGACTGATTTTATTTCAAATACCACTTCAAGAATATCTTTTTAAACTTCTATGCATAGTTTCTTCATGCATGTATCACAAGAGAAGTTGAATAGCAGAAAATCTAAAACTTGCAACCGCATAATAAAGGGAAATTGAACCAACTCTTTGCGCATGAACACCGCATCTCATCAGTTTCTTTAGCATGTTACGAATCCTGCACAACATGTTTGTATTCAAAACTTTGATGATTTAGCTCTTCATTGCTAAAGTATAGAAATAGTAGCATTATAATTTCTTATTCCTATTAGACGATTCCTATTCCTACAGGTATGGGTCCACTATTTTTCTATATAAGCATTGTAATAGTCTACAAATTATCAAGTTGCAAGTATAAAGTCATATCAGACTACAAGCATACCTCCAGCATTGCTTTAGCTTCATGATGAAATGTTTTACAAAGAATCTCATAACTTGTCTGCAGTCCTAACTGCAATATCAGTGGTCAATATGGTAATACATTTTGTATATATTATCTGAATAAAAGTGAAACCTAAAATGAAGCACTGAAGTAGTATCAACAGCATACCCCCAGATATACTCTGGATGGTGAAATAGAGGACACTGAGTACCTGCACAGGGTTAAAAATCAATAAATACATGGAGCAATACCAATAGGAAAGAACTCAACGGCAATAGGATTATGTGATAGTCAGTCATTCTTCAATATGCAGGAATCTACATTGTAACAGCCTAGTTTATATACTTTTAGACTCGCAATAGAGCATTTTTTCCTCAGAACAAGTGAACAACTCAAACAGAAATTATGACTCAAAGGGTGCACTGAAAATGCTTCAGAAGAAAAATGACTCCAGAATACCCTGCATGATTATTGTGAAAGATATAAGAAAATGCTTTAGAATATTAAAGGAATATGCTTTAGGATATTCTTATTGTATAGAATCTTATATAAGAAAATTCTATTTGTAATGTATATTTATAGGGACTCAACCCTCCAATGAAATAAACAGAAAATTCTTCACTCTTACTATTTATCTTACATCCTCAGTTTCAACAATTATCTTGACATTAGGTATGAACCCTACAGCAAGTTAAACATTCCCTTGAGAAATTGGCTACTTAATGCAAAAGTGAAATAAAAAAAATCAAATGGTTTTAAAGAATGTAGAAGATTTAAGCAACTCCGATGAATTTGGATACATGACTGTTCAGTTTTTATAAACTTAAAAAGGTGAATGTACTTTATCCTGAACTGTCTTAACACTTCATATAAAACGAATAACTTGACATGTGGCAGATTGTGGTAGTATGGAGCAGTTAGTTCAAAATACATATATACTCTTAAGGGTTAGTTGAATGGTTGGCCACTGAACTATCACACATATCACTTTGGTCCCCAAACTATAAAAGATATTACTCTGGTCCTTAAATGTCTATTTAGCCATTTCATTAGTTTGAATATCATTTTTGGAGCCAAAGATTCATTATTTTTCCATTATTTGCAATGGAGCCAAAGATTCATTATTTTTTGGCTTGAGATTATGATGGAATAAAGCAAAATGGCTCACTAAACTGTCTGCGCTTCTTTGTTATGAAGCAGCTGTCAGTCCATGCAATTTTGGACGGGATTTTCACTATGGGTCATCCGGAAACAGTCTCTTTGTGCTTTAGTACAGGGGTAAGACTGCGTACATCTGACCCCCCCTTACCCCACTGTAAGTGGGAGCCTTTGCGGCACTGGGGTAAATGAAAATGATGAAATGATTAGTTTGAATATCATTTTGACTCCATGTCATCTGACACTCCATATCCACATGGCGTGTTGACTAGGTTGTTGCGAACCGAGAAAAAGAACATCACAAGGATATGCACAAACAACGTGATTCAGTTAATGTGTGCAGGGATTTTGCAGATAACCTTCTCCCCGGGTTGTGTTTTGCTGAGGCGCAAATCTCCCAAAAATGCCTTTTAGACTTGAAATTCTCCCAAGCAAACTCCCTTTGAGAGAGTAATAAAAAATCTAACACAATACTACTACTACAACTACTACTACTAAATAAGTAAAGTACTCCACACCAAACTAATAAAGCAACTGCATTACATACAAAGTGCTGCAAAGAAATTTATTAGTTATTACAAAAGAAGGGAACCTCTTGTGCTAATCTAGGAATCTAGCCAATCGTTTAACATTTGTCAACTAAGCCATTAATATCAAATATGGTAAAACAATAAAACTTCAATTTTAATCAAAATTAAGTGTCAAAGCATGTCATGCGGGTGCCATTGGCTTCGAAATTTGCAGCCACATATTCATCACCTTTTCATATACGTTAATGTTATCTAATTATTTAAAATAGTAGGTCAAGTAATGTCATTATTTGTCTATAGTGAAAAATATTTAAACACAGATAGATAAGTTCAACAACTCCATTTGCAATGGAGCCAAAAGCTCATTATTTTTTGGCTTGGAAATATGATGGAATAAAGCAAAATGACTCTCTAAACTGTTTGCACTTCTTTGTTATGAAGCAGCAGTCAATCCATGGAATTTTCGACGCGATTTACACTATGGGTCATCCGGAAACCGTCTCTCTGTCACTCTGTGCTTTAGTGCAAGGGTAAGGCTATGCACATCCGACCGCCCCTTACCCCACCGTAGGTGAGAGCCTTTGTGGCATTGAGGTAATGATGATGATGAGGAGGAGGAGGAGATAGATAAGTTCAACACTATGAAACTATTTTGATTTTCCAAGATCTTTTCTTTGAGTTTTGGAAAATGACTTGCTTCAAGAGTAGTAATCCTTCAGTACTATCTCCTATTATAACAATTTCTATCAACGTGCACAAAAGTATTCATACTCTTAACCTGTAGTCTATAGATATCTATGAGAAACTGAGTAGTCAACTTTGCTTTGAATCAAGCGAAACTTCTTACCCATTGTGCTAAACCTTCCAAACTATAAACAGATCGCAGGTTGATCTGATACCCTAAATACAGGTCAGAAGGCAGAGATGGGTTGGGAGATGAATCAAACGGCCAATCATCCACTTGAACCACAGCATGTGGCTAAGGTCGCTGGTGGGAGGACAAGAGGCATATGAAAATGGAGTGATACTATGCGGAATTCAGGAAGGCAAATGACGAATGAGCCGTGCTTGGTGTACACTTTTTTAGTGTAAACCTTTGGCACACTTGTCTGTCTGCGTAGAAAGACAAGTGTGCAAAAGGTTTACACCAAAAAAGTGTACACCAAGCATTTTTCGTGACGAATAGTGTCATTTTGTTCCCTACATAGTTGTCGGTATACTGACAACTCTGTCTGCGTACAGACAACTGTGCCAAAGGTTACACCAAAAAAATGTACACCAATCATTTTACATGACGAATAGTGTCACTCTGTTCATGAAGCTCAATAGGTATGGGCTTGGAATGATTGGTGGTTATGGAGTGGGTGGTATTATGACTTCAAAACCCTCAAGACTTCACCTGATCAATGGCTTATGCAATTAAGATTGGATTTGTCTCCCCTATTATTTACAAGCTAACCCCTCATCTATACGACTATACCACTAAAGCTATTAGTGAACAATGACTTTGGACTTGCAACTTCATACTTCCTGAAGACTAAAGATACTCCATATATACGAAAACAACAGGCCCCAAGTGTAATGGGCTAGAACTAGGGTTTCTAAACCAAAGAGTTTCTATTATGATACTCTTTAACCTATTAATAGGACCAAAACAACATTTCCCATTACAGTTTGGTGACAAAAATACTATTAACTTTACTATTATATTTATATACTAGGTACTGCAGCCTTCTCAGTTCTCAAGGGCTCAAGGCATAAGAAAAGGTGAATAACCACATCCTTCGTCATACTAATAAGTAAATTGGTATATATGTAGTAGCAGTGTAATAGTAAAAAAGAATGTACCCAAGTTTACTAGTATAAAATTTCATAGCATCAACATTTGCCTTTTGAACAGTCAGAACCACCGCTCCCATTTTACTCTGCAAATCATGAAAACTTTTGTTGGCATTCAGCATGATTTTTGTGGTACAACGTAGAGCCCATTTAAAATGAACACATATCAAGGCAAATGTATTAAGAGAATCACAGTAACCTAATGAAAAATTAAAAGAAAACGCTTCATAAAAAGCTTGCATTTTAAAACCTATTCTTTACATATAAACAATTTTTTTTAAAATGGCTAACCACCTTGCTACCAATAAGCTCTATTAGTTGCATCAAGTATTCCCCTAGGCCCTTTCCCTGAACACGCTCCTCAAGCTGCAACTCGTAAACATAAAGAACAGGGATCTCTTCTTCTATGGTGAAGCGATAATGTACAAATCCAACTACTCGGCACATATCATCCGCTGTCTGAACTTCATCACTGTCCTGGTAACCCACTGCAGGAATTCCACTAGGATTAGCACTTGGAATCTCATAGACAAATATGTAGAGTGCTTCTGGTGCAACCATTTCCTTGCGCTTGACCTTCTCTTCCGCTGGCCATTCAGATCCATATGGTCCCCGCATATTTTCCTGTAACAGTTGCATTTTGTAAATGAAAAGTGAAATGTGACAGGATAGCTCATATCTTCATGTGTTCAGGTTCACTTACCTTGAGGAGGCCTTGGATATAGTGCTTCATTTGAGAAGAAAGTTTATTACCACGTCCAGATTCCATGTATACCGACAAACCTGGGAACAAAGGTAGTAATTGCGAATAACTCGTTTTGAGTTACACTGCCATGGAAGATTAGAGTTCAACCCAAAGTTGACTGGGAAAAGGATGAATATGTCATGACAAAATGAAATCCGCGTCAATGCTTAGCGGGGAGTTACCGTTTCTGTGGTAATGAATAAATGTCGGAAAGCATGAGAGATGGTCATTCACAGAAGAAGCAGCTCTGATGATCTCTTCCACTAGCTTCTTCTTTTCCAGCATCTGACTCGGAAAGCATCGAAATGGATTTGACGTTTCATCGCATGAATGTGCCCGAAGATTCAGAAGGAAGGGAAAAACCTACCTCTTTTCGGTTCATTTTATTAAACCGGATGTCATGAACTTTCTCGGCCTCCATTGTTGTATCCCTCGCACCAAGAATTTTTACAGGAATACCAACACTTCAAACTCATACTCCCTCCGTTCCAAAATTAACAAAATGACACTCTATCGACATTGTTTGACAATGTAGCGACACTTTTTGACACAGTAACGACATTGTTTTGCACTGTTTGATGTTGTTTGGTACGGAGTATAAATTTGTTTGCCAAATAACGAAATTTTAGAAACGGGACAATTATTTCGGGACGAGCCGAAAAGGGAAGCGGGACAATAATTTTGGGGCGGAGGGAGTATTAAGCAAATTGGCCTGCGAGGGGTTGATCTTATAATGTGCAAATGAGCCAACACCAGTTAAAACAGATCTCTCATCATCCAATCCTAATACAAGAATCTTGCAGCAATAAAAGTAACCAACAGAAAAATAAACAGTCTGATCATGAAAAATAAATAGCAAGAAACAATAAAGATAAAATGCTGCTTTCAAACCCTAAATTCTCTTGCACTCCATAGTGGTGGTTCAGGAGGGGGACGATCCAGTGGTACTTAGACTGTAGCCGCTTCCTCGCCTTACTTCTTGTTCATCATGTTCATTACCAAGCTTCCTCTGTCACCACCTATCACGAATGACTTTGAATCCAGATTTGTTCCAGCCTCTAACCCCACACTTCGTCCACGACCTTTGACCGCCAGAGGCCAAGCATCTATCTTTCGTCCCTGCACAACCTTCGATCGCTGGAGACCAAACATCCTCTTCCCTCCGATTAATCTCGCCAAAGCAAAAAAAAAAAGCCGCACAATTGGTGTCGGGAGAAGAAACCCTGTACACCTAAGCCTGCGTGCGCCGGCTGCTCCTCGTTACAAACGATAGCGGAGGAAAAACGCTAGCGAGGGAAATCCACCCTAGAGAGAGAAACTCTCATTTTTAGAGAGAGAATAATTGTTTAAAATTTAATTTTAAAAATAAAAAAAGTAGTAAAATTTGAAAATCGAAAAACCAAAAATTCAAAAATTAGAAAATTTGAAAAACCAAGAAACCGAGAAAACCATACAATAATATAAAAACCAAAATACCAAAGAACTAAAAAAATCAAAAAATCGAAAATTTAAAAAATCGAAAAAAAATGAAAAACCAAAAATTTGAAAGATTAAAATTTTTAAAATTAAAAATCTAATATTCTGAAATTCAAAACAATTGACAAAAAAGAAAAAAAAAATGAAAAAATTAAAAAATTGAAAAAATGAAAAAATAAGGGCCTGTTTACTAACAGATATATTTTCCTATTTTCTACTTCTGTTTTTCGTTCTCCAATTTTCTGTTTTTATTTTTCAGTTTTTCTATCTCAAGTTTTCTATTTTCTATTTTCTAGTTTTCCATTTTCAAATCTGAAAACATGTTCATCAATTTTTTCACCCAGTTCTGTGATCATCCAGAGGACTGACACGTTTACTTCACAGGTTACTAAATGGTGCTTATTAAGACTCGCGTTAATAAATGACACATAAAATAAGCAATGTTATAACATCATGTTTACTTCAAAAGGTTTAAAACATCGTTTAACATTAAAATGTCCAAAATAACCCTATACATATATAGACACACAAACATTCATGAACACAAATATATAACATAAATTGTGGGGTCGATCACCTCGTACGTGTACCCATACTCCTAAACCCTACCCTGCCCCTATAACTCGTACCCCCACCCTACACCCAATTCCACACCCTTGACCCCTACCCATACCCTTACCACGATCTTACACTCTACTCATAGTTCCTTAAAACCCTTCATACCCACTCATACCTACTCGTAGGGGTCGGGGTAGAGGTGGGTGGGGTGGTAAGGTCTAGGGGTATGGGATTGGGTGCGGTAGTGGGTGGGTTAGGGTTGTGGTTAGGGGTAAGGGTGGGGGTAATGAGTAGGGTTGGGGTAAGGTAGTGATAGGGTAGGGAGTTGGGATAGGATGTTGGTAGGGGTGGGGCCGGGATCAGGGTGGGGCCGAGGTAGGGGAAGGGGTAGGGTGGGGGTAGGATGACAGTAGGGTGGGGGTAGGATGGGGCCGAGGTAGGGGGCATGTGGGAAGGGGTAAGGTAGGTGTAAGGGGTAATATACAAGGTGGGGGTAGGGGGTGGATCGGGGTGGGACCGAGGTAGGGGCATGTGGTAGGTGGTGGGGGTAGGGGTCATTGTAGGGAAAAGGGGTATGCGGGGTGGGGGTTGGGTGGGTAGGGGTAAGGGGTAAGGTACGATGATGGAGGTACTAGAATGGAATCGACATCGGAGCGGGACCGGACCCACAACTAGATGTAAGTATGCAAATTAATTGTAGCGGCCCGTAGCATTTGCGTTTTCCAAATTTTGAAAACTAGTAAAAGTCACATCGCCAAATCATTAAGGAAAAGAGAGACATGTCTCATTTTTTTCGTTTTGGAAAACGGTTTGGTAAACGTGTTTTTATGTTTTCCTTTCTCCAGTTTTCCAGCAATATTTTTTGGTAAACACGTTTCCTGTTTTCTGTTTTCTAGTTTTTCAGTTTTCTGGAAAAAACTGGAAAATATCTCTGTTAGTAAACAGGCCCTAAGAAATTATAAATTTACAATATGACGTATGAACATAGGTAGTAATGAGAGTAAATAAAATGTGAAATTTTAAATTATGAGTATTATGTTTTTTCTTTAAACATACTTTTGTCATACTTGAAAATACTCAATCGTTCAAGGTCCAACGAAAGACTAAAAACATGGTATAGAGTAAGTCATCAATCGTTCAAGGTCCATCGAAAAAATATGTTGTGCAAAATTGAGATTATTCTGGGATTATGTAAAAGTGAGATTATTATGAGAATACTTATCAAAAGAAGGATTATTGTCGATTTTTAAAAATGGTTTTTCAATTGTTCATTTTTATTTCATTTTTAAATTTTTGTGGCACATTACAACATTTCTGTCCATTCACAAAAAAAAAGAGGAATAGTTTGTCCATAAAGACATCTTTTTTTGAAGTACCCTGATTGGGAGGGTTGAAAATGAGAGGGAATAGGGAATTTTGGAAACCGTATAATTCTTCCAATCAAACGGACACACATCATTCACTCCCCCTCTCGTTCCTTCTGAATCCTCCAACCAAACAGGACCAAAAAATGGTTCTTTTACTAGTTTAAATATTGATTTATTGGTCATAGAGATGACAATTGTGATGGACATCACATGTCATGACTAGTAAAAAAAACAGAAAACTGCTTTTTTTTTGTTACAACGAAAAAAATAGGAAAAAACGTATTAAAATCTAATACTCTCTAACCCATTAGCATCCTCCCAAAGAATTTGTTTGATCCAATTTAGAGCTGATTGAAGAATTAAAAGACCCTTTGGAGCTTGATGTGCAGCATTCGCAAGCCTATCGGCATATTTATTTCCTTCACGGTAGATATGTTTAATGTGAATGAATCGGCCATCCTCGAGGAGTCTTCGACAATCTCGAACTAGGACTCCGATATTAGCTGTCCACGAGTCGTGTCTCCTCTTGAGAGCCTTTATCATACTTTCTGAATCCACCTCCACAATGACCCTCTTCAAATCCAGGTCTTTAACCAACAACAATCCCTGACGAAGTCCCCAGAGTTCTGCTTTGAAACTATCAGTTCTCTCAATGTGAAGCCAAGAATCCATTCCCCTTTGTGATTCCGAATAACTCCACCTGCTCCTGCCTCTCTCTCGTTATCCCAGCTAGAGCCATCACAATTTAACTTGAAAGATCCGAAGTCAGGTGGAATCCACTTAATATAGTTAGGCACCTTTAATTGTTTGATTCCATCCCTAACACTTACTTTTTTATACTCCTCTTCCTGTGCATATGCGTTCCTCACAACTTGATCTGCATCTAGACGAACACCTTCAAAAATCCAAGCGTTACGAGCTTTCCATAAACACCAAATAACATAAGCAAACTTGGAAGCGTGGGGAATCCTGCCCGAATTTCTTCCCTTCCCTTGACAGTGTCTCTGTATCCATTCCAAACTATTGAGAAAACTATCTCCCATCCTAGGCACACCAAATGCAGATTTGGTCCAACATGTTGCAGCAAATTAACAGTCACGCAACATATGGAGGACAGTTTCTTCCTCGGTATTGCAAATAGGACATGTGGAATCATTTGAGAGATGTCGTCTAACTCTTTCAGCATTTGTCAGAAGTTTCTTCTTCCTAGCTTTCCAGAGGAAGCAACACACCTTTTCTGCTGCATCTATTCTCCATAGCCAACTCATCTCTTCTTCAGCCTGAACCGAAAAAAGAAGCCTCGTAAGCAGATTTGATAGTGAACTCACCAGTGGCTGGAAACCTCCAGTAAATGTTATCACGGTTCTCCATCTCGTGTGGTATGGGGATAGATCTAACATCACTCAGTACATCCTCTGGCAGTCTCTCTTCCAATTTAGTAACATTCCACTGCTTTGAAGGAGTGATAAAATCTGCCACTTTGACTAAGCTCGTTGAAGCCGGAAGAGGTGAGCCCAAGTCTTCATATAGAGGTCTGTCTCGCACCCAATGGTCAAACCAAAAGGAAATATCTTTCCCAGTTTCTACCTGCCAGCATACCTCTCGTTGAATGATACTTTTGCACATAATAATATGTCACGCCCCGGAAGGGGTGTGGGTTTTTGTCTTGCCCATCCCCTCCTTCACTAGTCCGCACACACACACACCTTCTCTTGTCTCTTCCCGCTCTCACTTTGTCAATTAGAGCACATAAAAACGTGGGGTGGCTCCCACTCATGTGGGAGGTCATCTCATTGTGTCCCGGTGTGTATAATCGGCCCCAAATGTTGTATTTCTCGGACTGTTTTAATTATATTTTATTTTATCGGGCCAAATAAAATATATCACGCGTTCCTAATAATTACGGGCCTTTAGAATAGATGTACATTCCTCAACATTAATTTAGGAGTCTCCGATATTCATTACGGGCTGTTATCCGCTAAATTACCAATACCGGTAATTGGGCCTCGTTTGACCAACCGGTCAACTCCATGCCCTTTCCATGGCCCAACTAAAATATCCACTACCATATACA